AGCTTCTGCACAGCAAAATAAACAATCATTAGAGTGAGCTGGCAACCAACAGAACGGGAAAAAATTTTTGCAATCTACCCATCTGACCAACGGCTAATAACCAGAATCTACAAAGAACTAAAACAGATTTACAAAAAAAAAAACAACAAAAAAAACAAACCCATTCAAAAGTGGGCAAAGATATAAAAAGACACTTTTCAAAAGAAGACATTTATGAGGCCAACAAACATATGAAAAAATGCTCATCATCACTGGTCATTAGAGAAATGCAAATCAAAACCACACTGAGATACCATCTCACGCCACTTAGAATGGCGATCATTAAAAAATCTGGAGACGGCCGGGTGCGGTGGCTCAAGCCTGTAATCCCAGCACTTTGGGAGGCCGAGGCGGGTGGATCACGAGGTCAAGAGATCAAGACCATCCTGGTCAACATGGTGAAATTCCGTCTCTACTAAAAATACAAAAAATTAGCTGGGCATGGTGGCACGTGCCTGTAATCCCAGCTACTCAGGAGGCTGAGGCAGGAGAATTGCCTGAACCCAGGAGGCAGAGGTTGCGGTGAGCCGAGATTGCGCCATTGCACTCCAGCCTGGGTAACAAGAGCAAAACTCTGTCTCAAAAAAAAAAAAAAAAAAAAAAAAAATCTGGAGACAACAGATGCTGGAGAGGATGTGGAGAAATAGCAACACTTTACACTGTTGGTGGGAGTGTAAATCAGTTCAACCATTGTGGAAGACAGTGTGGCAATTCCTCAAGGACCTAGAAATGGAAATTCCATTTGACCCAGGAATCCCATTACTGGGTATATATCCAAAGGATTATAAATCATTCTATTATAAAGACACATGCACGCGAATGTTCACTGTGGCACTGTTTAAAACAGTAAAGACCTGGAAACCCAAATGCCCATTGATGATAGACTGGACAAGGAAAATGTGGCACGAATACAGCATGAAATACTATGCAGCCATAAAAAACGATGAGTTTGTGTCCTTTGTAGGGACATGGATGAATCTGGAAACCATCATTCTCAGCAAACTGACAAAACAGAAAATCAAACACTGAATGTTCTCACTCATAGGCGGGTGTTGAACAATGAAAACACAGGGATACAGGGATGGGAGCATCACACACTGGGGTCTGTTGGAGGGGAATAGGGGAGGGACAGCGGAGGGCAGGGAGGTTAGGGAAGGATAACAAGGGGAGAAATGCCAGATATAGGTGACAGGGCAATGGAGGCAGCAAACCATATTGCCATGTAGGTACCTATGAAACAATTCTGCATGTTCTACACATGTACCCCAGAACCTAAAGTGCAATTATATATATATATATTTTTTAATAAATGTAAATATAAAATAAAATATAAAATACATAAAATAAAAAATATATTTATTATATATATATAATAAATATATAAAATCAATTATATTGGCCAGTTAAGCACTATCTCTATTTACTTTCCCAAAGGGAAAAATAAGTCCTTCACTCTGACACTAACACACTGCACCTTTAGCAATCTAATCTGACCAAGGAACCTCGCTGCCAGCCTGAAATCTGCAGCAGTATCCTGCGTCCTGAGTTCTCCTAATGGCTGCCTCCTGATATCCTAGTGCTCCCTGTACACACCCATCAGCTAGTGGAAGAATACCAGAGGCACCACAGTCGTATGTTCCTTCCCTCTGAGCTCTGGGTGTGACACTGGCCAGTGCAGCAGAGTGGGAGAGTATGACAGGGCACCAAACACGAACAAGACTCCAGTATAGAACAGCCGAGAATGGGAGCTAGTTTAGGAGACCGCTAATGAGCACAGACTAAAAGCAGGGTCCAGAGCTCAGGGGCAAACTCTGTCTTTCCTGTCTCCCCACGACTGGCAATCCTAAGAAAGAAGAGGAGAGTACTCATATCAAGCAATTTTCTTATAATCAAATTGGGAGGTAATTTTTTTTTTTAGAGACAGGGTTTCACCATGTTGGTCAGGCTGCTCTCGAACTCCCGACCTCAGGTGATCTGCCTGCCTCAGCCTCCCAAAGTGTGGGATTACAGGTGTGAGCCACCACACCCAGCCTTGGGAGGTAATTTTAATACTAAAAAATCACATCAAAAAATCAGGAAGTCCACAGTTAAGATGCCATTCAAAATTCATTTCTGTAATTCCCTTACCCTCTTGGTAAGAGCAAGAGAGGTGGTATACAGAACATTTCCAATCTATTGTTTTAGTATAATAATCTCATCCTTCCCACCTCTGAGAAAATACCAATAAAATTATTCTACTTATGGTCAGTCAATTCTCCGTGTAAGAGATTAGAACAAAACAATAATTACAGCAGCTGCATCAATTCTTCAAAGTACAGAAGTACAAACCCACCTTGAGATTTGAGATCAAATATAATTTGGGATTTTCTGTGTTATTATTCAAATATTCTATTATTTTTCTGTTTTTCCTTCTGTCAATTAGAACTTCAAATGAAAGTAAAATGCTACTTAGGGATAAAATGTAAAATAAAATTAAATTCCTGAATCTCTCATTTCAAGCTGAGGGTATGAGCCTCCAGCAAAGCTAATGGAAAATTACATACTCGTAAATGGGATGTGACGAGGGTTTACATTTGCCATCTGAAAAGAGAAAAGAAAATTCTGAAGTAAAGCCTTTATATTTCTCTTCATCAACAAAGAGGAAAAATACAGTAACATAAATATAAAATGAAACTTCCAATAATTCTGTCACTTATAGAGCAAAGGCCCTAAGTCTGAGTCTGTCTCTGAGAAATATTTATTAAACAACTGGAGGTTAAATCAATGAGACGACAAAAATGAACATACTATACCCTGAAGGCATGTTAGCATTTACTCCTTAGAATATAATGGCTTAGGCAAGGAGGGCATGGTGGCTCATGCCTGTAATCCCAGCACTTTGGGAGGCGGAGGCGGGTGGATCACTTGAGGTCAGGAGTTTGAGGCCACCCTGGCCAACACGGTGAAACCCTGTCTCTACTAAAAATACAAAAATTAGCCAGGCGTGGTGGTAGGTGCCTGTTATCCTAGCTTCAGGAGGCTGAGGCAGAAGAATCGCTTGAACCCAGGAGGCAGAAGTTGCAGCAAGCCTAGATTGTGCCACTGCACTCCAGTCTAGGCGACAGAGCGAGACTCTGTCTCAAAACAAAAACAAAAACAAAACCATAATGGCTCTATCGGAAAATTCCAGAATGTTATATATACTTTTTTTTTTTAGACAGTGTCTTGCTCTGTTGCCCAGGCTGGAGTACAGTGGCACAATCACAGCTCACCATAACCTCAATCTCCTGGACTCAAGCAATCCTCCTGCCTCAGCCTCCTGAGTAGCTAGCTACAGGCACTCACCACTACATCCAGCTAATTTTTTCTTATTCTTTTTAGTGATGGAGTTGTGCTGTGTTGCCCAGGCAAGTCTTGAACACCTGGCCTCATGCAACCCTCCGACCTCTGCCTCCTAAAGCAGGGGAACTACAGGTGAGGGCCACCCAGCCCATATATGTTTTTGTAGACATCTTTAATTCATGGACAAAAATCTCTTCTCAGTTCACTCCACTGTATCATTGATGAGATCATAACATAATGCTTAAAAGTTCAGTATATTTAGAGCATTTTGAAGGCTGGGGTTAGAAAGGAGTCTCTGCATGTAAATGCTGTTATTTTATACTGTTTCCCTTTCTCTTTAGATATAAAAAAAAGTCAGGAAGTGAGCTGTCTCTATCATTACCCATGGAACCCAAAGCAGTATTAAGGGGGAAATGGATTTGAGATTCTGACTATATGGGTTTAGATATGTCCCCACTATTATTAGCTGTGTGACCTTGGAAAACAAATTTAATTTTTTGAGTCTTGGCTTTCAAATCTAAAAAATGGAAAAATAATACCTATCTTGTAGGACTGTTACAAAGACTAAATAAGATAGCAGATGTACAAGCACCCAGCATTGTGTCATATGAAACAGACTCAATAAATGTTAGTCCCTCTTTCTGACTTGTTACACATACCCAGTCCCCCGACACTTCATAAGGAATTCTGCTAAACATTTTAACTACCAGCTCTAATTTCTTCAAAACAGGCACTTGGCTCTTAATAGTGACATAACAATCATGTGAAAGACTCTTGGGGCCTGATATTGTTCTGGAGAAACAAAAAAGTTCTCACGTTAGGGAACTGCACCAACTGCTTCAGGCTATGACAAGCCCCAAAACGCAAATCCCTTCCTGCATGTTTTTACAAGTGTTACTTAACATCCCGAGAGCTTTGTGCTCTTCCAAGAGTCTTTTTCTCCCTGTAAGGATCAGGCACACTGCCCTCTCTTCCCTTCTTAAGAGAGGTTTTTATTCAACGAGACCACCCACTGCACTAAAATATTTGGAATCAGAAAAGGCCAGGTTGGACCATGAAGAAACTGGCAAAGTCTTAGGACTAAACAGTAAGCCCTTCTTAACCTTTTAAAATCTGGATTTCTGCGCTTGCTTTTCTTGAAAATAGCAGACTTGTTGATGTACTGGTTCAAACACATCTGTGTATTTCCTCATCTGCATTACCAAAGAACTTACCATGTAGAAGATTTGTTAACTGAAGTCCTGAATCTCAGACTATGACTACAATTTTTTTTTTTTTAAGACAGAGTTTCGCTCTTGTTACCCAGACTGGAGTGCAATGGCGCAATCTTGGCTCACCGCAACCTCTGCCTCCTGGGTTCAGGCAATTCTCCTGCCTCAGCCTCCTGAGTAGCTGGGATTACAGGCACGCGCCACCATGCCCAGCTAATTTTTTGTATTTCTAGTAGAGACGGAGTTTCACCATGTTGACCAGGATGGTCTCGATCTCTTGACCTCGTGATCCACCCGCCTCGGCCTCCCAAAGTGCTGGGATTACAGGCTTGAGCCACTGCGCCCGGCTTATGACTACAATTTAATAAGGCAGTGCTTCCCAACCTCTTTCATTTTGTGGTACAGCCAGACCTTAAAAAGTGGTACCTCCCACAATGATGGCAATATTTTTTGTCAACAGCAGTTCACCTAGTAAGTGTTGAGAGTCTGGGTCTGAGTGAAAAGAAAAAAGACAAAAAAAGAAAAGAAAAAAAAAATGGCACCACCGGGCACGGTGGCTCACGCCTGTAATCTCAGCACTTTGGGAGGCTGAGGCAGGCAAATCATGCGAGGTCAGGAGTTCAAGACCAGCCTGGCTAACATGGTGAAACCTCTTTTCTACTAAAAATACAAAAATAATTAGCGAGGAGTGGTGGCACACACCTGTAATCTCAAGTACTCAGGAGGCTGAGGCAGGAGAATTGCTTGAACCTGGGAGGCAGAGGTTGCAGTGAGCCAAGATTGCACCACTGCACTACAGCTTGGGCAACAAGAGCAAAACTCCATCTCAAAAAAAAAAAAGAAAAGAAAAGAAAAGAAAAATAGCACCTCTTAGAAAGCTCTGAATTAATGGGACCTGAAAGTATTGATGAATAGTAATGGGATTGTTGGAGCTCAAAAAGCAATACCCCAAAGCATGGCACTTTGACATGCTGAGGGGACTAGGTATGTGTAACAAGGCAGAAAGAGGGACTAACAGTCTCTGAACTAAAAGAGACTGGATGGCCCCAGAAGCAGCCTCAGAAGCCAAGTCTCCAACTTTCTCCTGCCCTCCTGCCTCCCTCCCCTCTTTCCCGTTTCAAGTCATAGAAACCAGAATTATTCTTCCCCAGGGTGGGTCACAGAAACTAGAACCCCTCACCCTCAAAGCAAGCGATAAAACCTAGAAAGGTCACTCTCTCCCTTCTAAACCCTTATTCCAGAGGGTCCTGCCCCGTATCTGGGAGGAAGGAGTGCTACACAGAGAGGCCAATAAGAATCTGGACAGAAAGGCCTTGCTGTTTTTTTCCCTCATTAGAACATACCCTATGTGCAGTTACATTTCTACACAACTGTCCATTCTTTATCAAACCTAAGCATAAAAACAGTTTTCCCTATGTCTTGGGATCTTCATTCTGAAGGCTCCTGTGTCACATAAAACTTTGATGACATAAATTTATTATGCTTTTCTCTTGTTAACCTGTCCTTGCTATAGGAGTGTCAGCTGTGACCCTTATGATGGGTGAGGAAAGGTATACTTTTTCCACCTTTACAAGGTTCAGGGCATGCCACCCCAAAATGTGCCTGGTTAGCATAAGCATTATTTTGAGAAACTTGTAAGAGAAATGAACATCTATAAAGGAAATCTCCATTCGTAAAGGTAACTCCCTCTCTGCACCAGGAAAAGAAAGATGACTAAATTACTAGAGACTCAATCAATGGAGAGAATACACAGACTTAAATCTGCATTAACAAACCTTACCTTTGTTTTATGGTGCTTTTCCTGGCCATCTTAGCTGGGCCTTTCCCCACTCTTTTTTTTGTTTCAGAGAATGACAGTATTTGAGCCTGAAGTTTACCCCTTTGAGATCTACCCTAGAGATTTACTCATCTCTCTAGGTTATTTCTCATATATACAAGAGGTGTATTATGTTATTAAACTTCCATTTGTTTTTCTCTGGTTAATTTGTATTTTTGAAGGGTGTCCCAGATAAGAACTCATGAATGATGGAGGAGAAAATTATTTTTCCTCCCTTATACTACAAAACGTTAAAGTACAAATAAGAGTGAGAGAAAGGAATACAAAGATAAACCTATTCGCCATCTAACACAGAGGCTTTTATCACATAAACATAATTGTCTCAACTTCATGTAGCTCACGGTCAGTGTCCACAGTGCCTCACAGGGCTGATTACTCTTCACTTCTGTCAGACCTCAAGGAGAAAGTGGGTGTCAGAAAAACAACCAATGTTTGTTGTCAATGTAAGAATCACGAAACTGTAAGTCAGTGAATTAGGCATTAAAAAACTAATTCAGTGTCTTGTGCCTGCCAGGTATAGTTGTAGGCAATGAGAATTCAGCTTTAAATAACAGTGTTTGCCCTTCAGCCAGGTGTGCTGGCTCATGCCTGTAATCCCAACACTTTGAGAGGCTAAGGCAGGAAGACTGCTTGAGCCTAGGAGTAGACGACCAGCCTGAGCAATACAGTGAGACCCCACACCTAAAAAAAAATCAAAAATCAGCCAGGCAAGGTGGTATGCCCCTGCAGTCCCAGCTACTTAAGAGGCTAAGGTGGAAGATTGAGCACAGGAGGTTAAGACCGTAGTGAGCTGTGATTGTGCCACTGCACTTAGTCTGGGCAACAGAGACCCTGTCTCCCACCACTCACCAAAAAAAAAGGCAATTTAAATAGATTATGTAAGGCTAGATATGGTGGCTCACACCTATAATCCCAACACTTTGGGAGGCAGGAGGATCACTTGAGGTCAGGAGTTTAAGACCAGCCTATGCAACATAGCAAGACCTCTTCTCTACCTAAATAAATAAATAAATAAATATCCAGAGGATGTAGATTAATTCTTTCCATGTCATGAGAAAACTGTTGGCCATCTCCCAGGTAGTTTATTCAAGAGGATAAAGACAACTGAATAAATTACAGTCAGAGGCTGACCCAGTTCCAATATTCAATTCTCACATTCTTGTTTAGTTGTTAGGGCTAGTGTGGTCACCTCTGTCCTTTGATAACATATAAAATAGGATGACATCATTTACAGCGAGATCATGAAGGCCCAGACAATATAAAATTACAAAGCACAAGACTAGAAATCAGAAGACTGAAGTGACTGCATCTACTTCCAATGCTATCACCTAATACTCATGGGAATTTAGGTAATACACTTAAAACTCTTGAAGCCTGACTTTCTTCATCTATTCTATCCCACTTCATAGGGTTTTTAGGAAGTTTTAAGAAGCCAATAAAATAAAAGCACCTGAAAATGTTTAAAGCATTGGACAAATGCTAACTGTAACTGCCCAATCAAAATGTTTATTAAAAATAAAGAAATAAATACCAATAAATGGTTAAGGGTAAAACAAAAGTTTATTAAGACAACTTAAATGAAAAGAGACAAGCGTAGTTACATTTAAGACCAAAATGAGTTCTTGCTCCTGTATATTAGCTGTTTTAAAACCTTTGCTTCCATTCTACTGTCCCCAGGAGCTTTGGAGGAAATGGATCCCAAAAAGTGTTATCAGGGCTTACAGAGTGCTTTTTAGTTGATTTACCCTCAACCTCACAAAGCCAGATCAGAAAATTACTTTCTGAAAGGTTTTTCATTTCTTGGTATGCTAATTACTTTCAATTAAGAGACAGGAAATAAGTACGAGGTCACTTCTCTTAGCTATTAAGTCATTATTAAGCACCTTGACAATCTCTGTTCTTCTTGGAATACTGCCCTTTTGAGTATCTCTATCTTAAATTCAATTGCCTGTGGAGCAGATAAGCCAAGTAGAGTCAAAGCTGGCTGGGGCAGTATGGCGAGAGTGAGGAGTGGTGGGACTGCAGTGGTGAGTACAGTATAATCTAAAGGAATAATAACTTCTCAACTCTAGCCTATTATTTGTAGAAAAGTGGGCACAGTGTTGCCAGATCTTTGTTATTTCAAAAAATTACAGAAACCACATTTTGTTACATGCACCCAATTTTATTTTGCTTATAGTTATCTAGGTCTACTACAAATGGAAGGATATCAGAGCATACCACCCCAAAATACGCCACCTTTTGCAGAATGATTTTTTTGAACTGAAGGCAACTGTCGAACAGGAGAAATGCTTTGCCTCAAAGCAGAACATATCCTTTGTGGAAGTGTCCCCACCTTTTATACAGAAAGCACAAAATAACTCTTAATCACCTGAGATGACTCTAGAGTCTTATTATTATCAGTTCATAGATAGCAAGAGAGAAATCTGCATAACAAACCTTCCTCAAACAACCCCTATATTTACCTTCCCACAATTTACCAAACCTGGAAAGCTCAAACCCCTTTTTGTCTTGTACATCTCCACAATTTGCCACTTTTTGTTAAAAACGGTACATAAGATCTCAGGCTTAACCACTTTAGATCTTCACTTTTTTTTCTCTGAAGTCCTCCATATGTACATGCAATAATAAACTGTTTCTCCTGTTAATCTGTCTTCTGTCAGTTTAATTGGCAGGGCCCCAGACACTGAAAGTAGAGGGTAGAGGGAAAAGTTTTCTTTTCTCCTACAAAAATTATAGTGCAGAATTCTCTGGCTGTGAAAGAATGAGTTATGTATTTAAAAAGTATTTACTGTTGCCAATGTATACTTTATCATTCTGATATGGGGAAGTAAATATTAAGCAAGGCCTTGCAAGCTAGAGATGGGAGAGAAGACAGTTCAAGCTGGGAAAACATAGTATGCAAAAATACTGAGGTAGAAATATGGCAGGCCGGGTGCGGTGGCTCACGCCTATAATTCCAACACTTTGGGAGGCCGAGGTGGGTGGATTACGAGGTCAAGAGATCGAAACCATCCTGGTCAACAAGGTGAAACCCAGTCTCTACTAAAAAAAAAATACAAAAATTAGCTGGGCAGGGTGGCGCACGCTTGTAGTCCCAGCTACTCGGGAGGCTGAGGCAGGAGAATTGCTTGAACCCAGTAGGCAGAGGTTGCGGTCAGCCGAGATCGTGCCATTCCACTCCAGCCTGGGTAACAAGAGCAAAACTCCATCTCAAAAAAAAAAAAGAAATATGCCTGGCATGCTGGGGGGATAAACAGACTCATTCTGCTAAAAGATAGGATTCCTTTTGAGAAGGAATAGAACATAGGTGGGAAAAAATGTGAAAGACATCGAATTCTAGAGTTAAGATTTTTATAACCTTTAAAGGAAAAAGGCTGTCGATAATGGAGAGCCATTCTGAGGAAGGCATTACTATATTTCATATCTTGTAGAGGTTATATGTTACTGTTCTTTCCATTTTTTCAAAAATAGAAGATAAAGCTGAATGCTGACACATGAAACTTGAGTTCTAAAAAAAATTTCCAAATGAAGGCCCATTTAACCAAACACATTATAAGTAAACTCTGTTGGCAATGTGGTGGTCAAGATTTTCAAGGCAAAAATTAAATGATCTCTAAGAGGCTATTTATCTCTAATCAATAAAAACATTTAGAACTTAAA